TTGGGACGCGTCCATGTCACTTTCTCACCGATCTTCCGACTTGCCCTGACACTGCCTGACCTCTTGGGCTATCGATGATCCGGAGTAGTGTAGACACATGTACCTCCCTACGCCTTTTTAGCGGGCTTTTGGCGTGGGTTAGCTTTACATCGGGGTTTGGTGAGGGTGGTGCGGCGGTTCCGTTGGAAGAAAAACTGGCAAAAGTACTCGGGATTTTGGATTGTTTTTTGTTTATTTCTTTTACACTACTTGGATGGACGTGGGAAGGGAGTGCAGTGTAGTGAGATGCAAAAGTTTATTCTGGATATGTAGTACATAGGCGCTTCCGCCCTCATGGGCCCTTGCCGACGTCGACAAAGTTTCATTGCGTTGCAACATACAGTAATTACCCCTGACAATGCATGCACCTGATAATGCATAAAGCCCTCTAAATGCTTAGAAATCGCCGGCCGCAATCAATTAGTATGGGCAATCGCATAAATGCTTAAATGCATGCAAAACGGCCTGCCATTTTGGTGTAATATGCACTTTCTGGAATACTATTTTGTGGGGCCTTCAGCCCTTCATAGATAGATTAGCACCCTAAAAAGCCTCTAAAATTTCTACGCTAAGGCGGCGGGAAGTCTTGGCATGTGCCTGCTCGTGCATATGTGCCTCTAAATGCATACGAACCTTCAGCCAGGATTACATGCATTATCAGGGGTAATTACTGTAGAGGCTCCAAGGCCCTCTGTTCCAAGGCGTTGTTACAATACCAAAATTACGTGCAGAGCTCCCTCAGTGGCCCCCTCCCCCGGCCGGCCTCGTCTTCTTTGAACAGACAGGCTCAGAAGGAGACAGCCGGCAGCTGGCTCGGCTGGCTGACACCATTGTGCGGTTGTGCCAGCTTCGATCGTTGGGTCCGCCGATCTCGCGTTCTGGAAGGGCCCATTTCTTTCCCCCTTTGGATGCGTGAATTTCGGCGGGCCGAATCTGCCCAATGAAAAAAAATCAAGTATGTACTGCTACGTTTTTTTTGCCTTCTACGATTGTTGAGAACTGATCTCCAAGGCAAGGCTTCGATTCCGGTTCCGTCCTGGAACTGGACCTGAGGAAGGAGCTTCGGCTGTGTCGCAACTTGGTTTTGAATAGGGCTGACTGATAATTGAAAAATCCCATGAGCAACAAGACCGGTTTTTCACCCGAATCCCATCTGAACAAGGCCGCCTTGCCAGGTCCCTCGGGTATAATACACTACATAACTGGCGGACAGCAACCACTGTTCGGCATACGACCGACCAAATCCGTTCACGAAACACGCGCATGGCATGGCAAACTCACATCCGACCGCCCACCGACATCCCAACCGATTTGGAAGCGGTTGAAAGTTTCAATATTTTCGGTATGAGCAGGCAAAGTTTCCACGACCGGATCGCCGATCTTCCCTTGGGTCTTGAATTCTCGGGCATCGAACCGAATGCACTCGGGCGATGTGGGATTGCTAACAACATGTCACTACACCTCTGCCAGCATTGACTTTGTTAGCGCGGTATCACCACCTTACAGAATTTGACTGGTTGGCGGCGGGCGTACCATTCATCTTCTGTAGGGAAGATAATGTCATAGCCACTTGCAATTTCACCGCACTAACAAAGGTAAATGCCTGCAGAGATGTAGTGTAGAAAACCCACGGGGGCCTGCTTGGAATCGTCGATGAAATGCGCTGATGCAACAAGCGGACGTCTTAGCGCGGCTTAAGTGGTAGGTGGTATCAAAATAATGATCGATGGTGCTCAGAAGATTCAGATCTGAGCATCTTGGTTATGCATGTAGTGTACTATGTAAAGAGCGGCATGCCGAAGGATTGTGAATTGGAATATTCTGGACCGCAGCGTGTGCATTGTTTTCGAAGCCACCTCGTTGCTTATTTGGCCATGAGACCTCGCGGCAACAGGTCACCATGCAGTCAAAAGCTACCGCAACCGGGGATATTTTCGCTGGTATACTTTCTTCTGTGTGTGCTCAGCTCAGGTGGTATCGGGACGCATGCCCAGCAGCTAGGTGCTCAGCACGATGACCATGGGATTTTCCGATGGGCAGCACCAAACTATAAAACAGTGGCACAGACATTTAACCATCAGCCCGTCCACGACAAACGTGGGGCTACAATTGAAAACTCGGGTTCTGTTGCCGAGAAAAGGTTACCATTCGCAGATAACCCTTTCATCGCGTGCACGACGTGCTGGATCTTCTCAACGACAATGATACCTTGACATTTTGACGGGTTGACTGTGTGCATTGGACGGACAAGCCAAGTCCCCCGAGCCCACTAGGGCCCCAAGTTCCTCCATTCGCGGCGTGTTCGTTGCATGACGGGCCCACGGCCAGCTTCGGTCACGAGACAAGCGGGGGACCGGCGGTACTCAGCATCGATACGGCGGTAGGACGCTGATCGGTGAACACCGCGGTGAGTTTTGATGGCATTTCTGCTGAAGATCCGAATGTCCCCCTTGAGCCCTAACCCCCCTCAACCCCCTATTGACACCTCGGTGCAGTAACTTCCCTGAAAGCGAATGCACCTGGAAGTGAATAACGCTCTCTATATACTTATAGCTGGCCATCCGCAATTATCTTATTTAGTACAGGCAACTATATGACTGGTATCTGCATATCAGATAGCAGGTATACCGGGTACAGTAGAAACCTCCCCTTTTGCAACTAATGTGGGCAGCCCAGAATTTTTGCAAAAGGAGGGGTTTTGCAACTGGGGGTTACCCCATGTCAAAAGTACTAAAATCCCATATATTTTTACTATTTTCTACATTACAATATCCCCTCAATCGTAACTTGAGTCTTCCTATTATTTCGCCACCCCTCTACTCGCTGTTTCAACCGCCTTAGTTATTGAACTTCCTCGAACTTGAAGCAGTCCTTTTCAAGCGCCTAGCCTAATATATTATCAAAACGCTACACTACCTCTTTACTTAAAAGTATAACTACTAATTTATATAAACGGTTATCCTCGGCCTCCTCTACAGTCTTACCTTAGTTATTTTCTACCTCCCAATCCCTAATAACACTCTCAAATACCTCCTCTACTATCTTTAGCTCTACGGGTACTTTATTCTCGTCTTCGGGATTTAGGAAATTGAAGAGACTTATCCGTTCTCGTACGGGGACATAATTATTAACTTACTCAAAAAGGGCATTTACATCTAATGGTAGCTACTTAGTAGTTCCAAATACCTAGATATTAATACCCAAAACAATAGACCTAATCTAGCAATTCTAAATAGTTTCAAATTTGACTTTAGAGTATTAAATTTATAAAGTGAATTTTAATACCTATTTAAGGTTTATTTTAGTAATATACTCCTTAGTAATAGAAGTATTAGTAAATTAATTATATATCTAATATAAAAAGTAACGATAATAGTAGGCTTTAAAGCTATTAATTACCCTCTAATCTATTAATTGATATAGGGATATACTATTTGAAGGGAGAAATTTAATAATAATATTAGGGGGTAGAGGGGAAAATTTAACGCTAAGTTCGTATGCAAAGAAAGTATTAAGTAATAAAAGAACCCTTTCTCTAGGCTTTTTGTAGTCGATACAGGTATAAAAGTATTAGAACTATTCTTATATAATTTTTCCTATTATCTAAGCAACGTCGTTATTTCTCTAGATAATCCGTATAGTATCTTAATTAAACCCTCTCAGTATATACGGCTCCTTAAATCTCTTAATTGCCTATATATTAAAAAAGTTATTATTAATATTATTTATTGTAAGAGTAAGTAATATCTGTAATTTATCTTTCTTAATACTAGGGTGTAATTTAGAGGTAAAACTATATAAAGTAGTATACTGCCAATATAACCCTATTTTATTTATATTATTACAGTTACCTTTAAGTATCTCTATTATAAACTTTCTAATCTCCTCTATCTATTTAACTGTATCTTTATTATTTTTAGGAATTTTAATTACTTTACTATAGAAGCTTTATTCGTAGATATAGTACCGTTTCCTAAAAAAAGCGTACCACTTCTTACTAAAGATAGGGTACGCTGCTTCGTTAATTAGTTTATTATCGTAAGCTTCGGAGTATCTTAATTAGATTTTATACGTTTTTTACTATAAAAATTCGACGGAGGTACCTATCCCCTACATTTTAAAACTAATTTACTAACGAAAGAGTAAAATTTTAAGTACTAGCTATTACCCGACTTTAATATAAGTACTATTGAATTACGAAGACCGTTTATTAATTTAATTGAAACTAGTAGGGTTATTCTTTTTATTAAAATACCGGTATACTAAATATAGTAATACTTAAATACCCTATTGCAATTTAATTTAATTTAAGGCTCTCATAAATAACAGTCTAATTTTTTAATTATCTACCTATTCCTAGAGTTACAATTGTTACTCCTATATTAAAGAAGGATATTTAATCCTAGGTATAGTAAGTACTAAAAGGCAAGGATATTTCATTAGGAATAGGATCGCTAACAAAAATATATAAAGAGCAGGTCTCTTACAAATAGGGTTAGCTATAGTAGGTAGGCTAGTATATTATAAAAGACGTATAGTATAAAGAAGTAGTAGGTAAAAGCGGGTAAATTAGGGTATTTTAAGTGCCTCTAAGTATAGGATTTAGAAGATTCTATAACCCTAACCCTAAGTCTGACGGTCCGTCTATAGCTGTCAGATACCCCAATTCGACTGCCAGCATCCTCCCTTTTGCAATTTCGGGCCGTTAATGTTGTAATTTGTAGGTTGCAGGAATTACCACTAGAGGGAATATGGGCAGTAGAAATCCTTTGCAAAAGGGGGAATTTTGCAACTGGGGGGGGTTGCAAAAGCAGGAGTTTCTACTGTAACCCCCTAACATCCCTCAAAATTCCTATTCTATGGCGGCTTTGAAGTCTTGGCATTGAACCGTGAGTGCATATGACCTCTAAATGCATACAGAGTGCCGCTCCAGATAGCATGCACGAACACGGGAAATTACTCTATGGGCTCAACTGGAGGTTGGTCCACAGAACGGCAACCCTCACCGGCTGAACTCGGATCCGCAAAAGGTGGAATCCTGTCCGCCTCGTCATCGACTCGCGGTCGATCACGCCGGGGCTTGGGCCGTTTTGGACGGAGACTGAAGAGCGCGTTTGAGCACTGACCATCAGTCCTTGAAAAGTTCTTGGCGGCTGGCAGTCCATTTTGGGTGGATTGTGTGTGGGTGACTCGAGGTGACTGGTGAGTTCTGTCTGCCCGTCCCCATGTTTGGTTTCCAGTCCCATTTCCCAGCGAGGTTTGGCAGACAGCGGGGCGATGGTGAGTTTGGCGACAGCGACAGCGACAGTGACAGTGACAGGCTGGGGGATTGTCAAACGTCAACTGATGCATACTTTTCTCGTCACCCTCACCCCCCTCGTTACCCCGTTGTCGTTTTCGATACACTGGCATATACCTAGGTAGGTAGCTTGCCGCTCAATCGAGAGTCGAGACAGGTAGATTCGCAATCGATGATTTTCAGTGGCCGATTGCCGAGGCCGCCCGGCTCTTCGTAACGCCCTATGAGACGGTGATGGGTTGATGGCAAGTGCCGGGCCACAGCCGTTGGAGTTAGATCTACCTATGTATTGCTGCCATGAGGTGATAACCCTATTGATGGCACATAGGAGAGCGCCTACACTCGCAGCTTCTGTTCAATAGTTGAATTGCCCCTTTCCACCTGCCGTTGTGTCGAGACATCATCTCCTGACATTCTGGAAAGATTGCACGAGCGTGCCGTGATGAGAGCTTCAGGGCTCTAACGAATCCAGAAGAAAATACCCTGCATCACTTACACTAGATTGACAGTTTGACACTTGAACCGTAGATATACAGAACTGCCGCAGCTGGAACTGGATATTTTGTGTTCCCCTTCCTGATGCAGTGTACCCTGCCTTTCGGGATGAATGGCGATGATGATGATGATGATGATGATCATGGCGGTTCTTCGCCGTTAGGGCCTGTGCCTTGCTCACTATCAAAAGCAACACGCTCGCACCTCACAAGCAGATGGGTGTGTCAGCAACAGCAACATGGTCCGACTCATTCGGTTGCACACAAGAGTCCGCCAGAGTCGCACTTCACCACTCACAAACTCGCCGTCAATCCCAACAGTTCAACCGTGAACCAAGGTCTTCGTGCTCTGTGCCGCGCGGGATTGGAGCACCAGAGGGGATGGCGGGCGCTTACACGCCGCCAGGGCCATTCAATCACGGCCTCCGATTGGGCGGTTGGCGTGATATGACCTGGGGCCATGCAGCCCATCAGCCTGTCTGGCATTGGCTCCAGAGATTCTTAGTAGAGAGCTCCTTTGGGGGCGGACAAGGGCAACACTGAGCTTCTGCTACCCTCATCGAGGCAGCCAAGCACATTGGTTCGACGGGTCGGTTAGTCTGCGGCCGCGGGAAGAAAGGATGGCCTTCTGCGAGCAATCATGAGGGCCGCCCTCTCCAGGGTCTTGGTTTGCTTGTCTTGTCTCTTAAATCCTGTCCCGTTCCCTCCCAAAGGTACTTGGTCAGCCTCTTTTTTTTTGGTTTTCAGCTTTTACGATTCCCTTAACCAAACATCGCCTCTTTGGAATCTGTTGTCGACTGACGTGGGGGGTGGATTGAAGGATTCAAGACAAACGACGACGACTTCTTGGGCATTCGATGTGAGCCGCTTGGGAAATTGCTGGTAGCTCAGCAACATCAAATACATCCAACATACACGGAAGATAATCGCCCGCGAACGGGTAATTAGATCAGAGCGACGACGACAATATATACGAATACCAATATCGGACGGCAGAAGGGTTGATCATCAAGGCAAGATCGCTTATCAGACGATTCACTGTATACTAAAGGGTATCATCCTTTCGGCTTACAAAAGTACAACATCACTCATATTTCCAAAATGGCGGCAAAGGGATACAGACTCATTCGAAGGCCATGGCGCATGAGGCGGCCACTCTACTTTGGCATGGTTTTCGAGTTACTCGGCATCGTCGGTGTCCTCGTCCTCTTTGGAATCCAACAACCAGACGTTTTCCGCACACAATTCTGGGAGATCGGCCATCTCATGGGATGGAACTCATCACCAAACATGATTCTCTACGCATACGCCAACCACCAACCCTTACCTACAGTGCCCTTTGTATGGTCACAACTGTAAGTGTCCCAGTACACGCAGTCGATGCTACAGACAGTGTGTCAACTGACATCGGGCAACCACACAGATTAACAGATTACAACGTCGCCATCTCCGTCGTCTCCCTCTTCATCTTGCTCGTCAAGATGATCATGATCATCATGAAGTTCTTCTACCCGATCCTCGGTCTGATTGTCAGTCTCGGCCTCACGGTGGTCTACACCGTCTCCGTCTATGGCCAAGCCGGGCCTGATTACGCCGACCCCGAGCACCCTAGCCCTGTGCCGTGGTACATTGCCAAGTCGTGCTCAGTCGCGAGGCCGTTCAACGCCGAGAAGAACTGCCAAATTGCCAAGGGCGCTTTTGCTGCTACCATTTACATGCTGTACGTTAAATCATCAATTTTACTTTCTCCTTGTTCCCTCCGCAGTAGTCCTTTGTCGACTGACACAACTCAAATAGGTTCCTCTACCTAGCAAACTTGGCCCTCTCCATCTGGTCCATGTGGCCCAACAAGATGCTCGACATGTACGACGACGACGATGACAGCAACTCAGGCGACGAGCAAGAGAGCAAGCCCAAGGGCAAGCTGCCAATCGTCAACGTCACTGCTCTTCACGGCGGCATTGGCATCATGAGCGGCGGCAGCCCCAGTACGGGATACTACGGAAACAAGGAGTGGGAGATGCAACCTACGCAGCAGCCTCCTACGAGCCCGAGGGCGGTGCACATGTCGGGGGCAATGGGCGGCGGTCATGGGGGTGTGGAGGCACCAATGTTCACGCCCAGGACGCAGGCTTTTCATGCGTTGGATCGGAGGTTGCCTTTGAGGAGCGGTTGAGGGGTCCGGGTGTTGGTGTGTGTTAGTATGTGGAACGAAGTGATGATGGCGGGTACTTATGGATGTGCGCGTACGGGGACTGCTCAAAGTGAGCGCGTGGGGGATGAGTCCAATTTCATTGGACGAGGCCAATGATCACCTGTTTGGGTTTCCTGTTCAATCCTTGGAAGGGGATGGAAGGAACGACCTGCGAGGACGTCGAAACTGAAGTTCATCTTGCTCAGGGAAACGACGGTTCTCGCGAAAGACGGGAAAAGTGCTGCTCATCGGTTGCTCTTGCCAAAAAACAAGCTTCGGCCCAAGGAGAGGGAAACTACCTAAACATGGTCATCATCATCCGAGGCCATCTTATAGGATGGATGGAATCCTCCAATATCACCGTGGGACAGGGCAGCACAGGTATTCACAATGCGGAGGGAAGGAAGCTGGATCTTTTTGTCTCTCCAGCTACATGATACCAATATCTTTCCCTCCACATCCCATTCATTCATCCATCATTACTGGGTCCTCTTCTTTTTTCCCTTTTTCTGTCTTCTTCATTTTCTTTTTGTACATATATACCACGAGAAGGACTGGAACTGGATTGTATCATATTGAATGGCTTGCCTACTCGCCATGAATGCTTCAAAGCAAAAATGAAAGTCAAAACAAAATAACAAAGTCCAAATTGTTGACTGAACTACTGCATACCTTACCATCTGTGTGATCCTTGTCGCTCGTGACAGCACTTGATCACTTACCCCCCACTCCCCAAACAACATCTCCTACATACAGTTTTCCACCTTCATAAGGAAAATTAAAGCCTTCAGCTCCCAAGTTCACAAAGCAAAGCTAAACAACGAACCCAAACCCCCTCCTCTCCCGGGAAAGACTACTAAACAAACTCAACCAAAGCCGCACTCCCCGCCTCAACCACCACCCCCAACCCCGCCTTCCCGCCATCACTCGTCCCCTCCCCAACCCACGCTCTCTCGCTCTCACTCGTCCTCGTCACATTCGCCAACCTAACCGGCCTACCTTCGTCCAATTCCCAATTATAACTCCATCCATCCCACGTGATTCCCGTAATGGCATCGCTCCCGTTAGCCATCAGTCTCTTCACCACCACCTGCTTTTCTTTCCCTCCATCCTTCAAGAGATAGGCGGCGGGTAAGGTGAAGTTGAATGTCACTGAAGGGCGAGGGGTCAGGGACGAAGGAGGTAAAGGGGCAAGACCTTCGCCTGAGGCGGTGGTGTTGTAGGATTGGAGGTTGATGAGGATGAGGCGGGTGAGGTTGGAGGAGTGGTAGGCTGCGTAGGCGGAGAGGAATGGGGTAGAGGAAATGGGGAGGTGTTTGACTGTTGCGAGGGAGGTGGCGGGGGAGTCGTAGGGGGAAGAGGGAGGGGGGGCGAGGAAGGAGGCTACGGCTATGTTGCCGTAGTAAGGGGCTTTGGTGCCAATGGTGGCTTTGTTGGTAGCAATGGGCTGCCAGGAGGCGTACTGGATGAAAGCAAGGTTAGAGTTGGTTGAGCGGCTCGAAAGAGAGAGAGAGAGTGTGTGTGTGTGTGAAAGAACCAGACGATAATGGGTAAGGGAATGACTGGAAGAGAAAGGTGTCGGAAAGGGTGGATGGAGACGTACCCGGTAATTAGTACCCATGTGCATGTGTACCCTCTTGAAGCCGACACTTGCGGAATATAGGTTAAAGTCGACACCCCAAAGAGCCGCACCAAAGGTATTTGAGAGCCCGGGACGACCTTGGTTGTATAGCGAGTTGGTCTCGCCAAAAATGAGCGGTGGAGCCGCAGCATCGATGGCTTTGACCTGATTGTACTCAACAATGTGGGCATCGACCGAGGCCTTCGTCATGGAGTGGTTCATTAGGGTCCCCTGGAGGGTAACCCCTGGAGAGGTTGCGCCACTGATGTAACTGTCATCACCAACGTCGTTAGCAATCTTTTCTTTTACCTTACCCGGACGACACACTCTCTCTTGAAGGGGTTCCATAAACTCACTTATGTGTAGCAAACAGCTTGATGTTATTATCCTCATTAAGTCCTTCGCCCCACGCTTTCGGTGCCTTCAACTTGTTTCCCACGCCGGCAAATGAAGGTGCAATGTACCCGTAGGTACCATTTTTGGCCAGGTCTGGACAGTTCCTCTCGAGTAACTCATGGATTTTTCTCGTGCCGTTTAGCCATTGGTCGACGTACTCTGCCTCGTTCCAACTAGGCGGTCTCACAGGGCCCTGGGCAGAAGTAGAGAACAGATCCGGCTCGTTACCATATGTCCACGCGAACAACTTCCCGCCACCCAAGGTCTTGCAGGCGAGCGGGACCGTGTCTAGAAGTGTCTGCCAGCCGGACGTCCGGTTGCCGCCCAGGCCTAGGTTGAAGCCATGAATGAACCTGGTGTTCTTGAAGGAATTGTAAGATTCAAAGAACGAGGGACCGATGAAGATTGTGGTTGGATAATCGGATGAACGCTTGGGATCAATCGTGCCATTCAGACTATAGGGCAGTGAGGCATTGTACAGGGCGTAGTCCTGCGTATTGCCGCCGACGCGGATGTACGGCTTGGTACCCGTGATCTTGCCCAGGTTGTCCAGGAGATTTTCGGAGAAGGTGTTTGGGCGAGAGTTGTTCCCTGCAAGCAAGCAAAGCACGTTTCAGAAACTGTCAAATTCGGCGATCGTGCAAGGAGTCTTACCTGCGTAGTCGGGGAAGCTAGAAAACTCGATGCTGTAGCTCACATACGCGTCAAAGACCGGGTTGCTGGGCGCAGTCTCGTCGACGGATATTTGCACTGCATTAATTACCGTTGGGACGGAAGCATAGGCAATGAGACCCAGGATTCGCTTCATGATGATGGTCAAATGCAAGGGGCTAGATTATGTCGGCGTCGGTCAGAAGAAAATTGCTGCGTCCCAGTTTCCGAGACAATAACTTCATTTTCGTTCGCCGACCGGCGCTGGCACGGTATTTAGATGAAGCGAGCCCATGCTGGATTTTCTTTCCCTGTCTCTTTCCTGCTCACCACAACAGACCAAGTACGTAGTAGTCTATCATGGTCTCAATGACAGACAGGCATGCTGTGTGCGAAGCCTGTGATACCACTCGATTTTGCAATATGTCGTGGCGGGGAACCCCCGTCAATAGACGAAAACAAAAAACAAATAGTATCCTCGGGTTGCATGCTCGTTTACTACGAAATGCAAGGATATTTGGGAGTGTACGGTTGGCTATGTTTTTGAGCCTGAATAAGGCGATCAGCAGTGCGACATGACCAAACCCCGCAAAGTGTGATCATGTTCGACCACGATGCAGAGAAACCGGGGAACTTTTGTTTTAAACATCACGTTCTCAGCCCCAGCTTACCATTAGGAACCCTGATGTTGATCTCGTCTAGTCAATATTTTGCTTTGGGCGCGTCCCATGGCTTTTCTTGATCATTATTTGCCCGAGCCGGGCTGACTTGGATTGGTGGAAGGACTCCTCCGACAAGATCTTGTGAAACGCAATATTTGTCCGTCCGCTGACGAGGGAAACTCGGAAAGAAGATACTGTTCGCTAATCCTAGCAGCTACTATGAGATCCCAGTGCTGTAGTCTGTATAATTCGCCTCGAGGTGTGACCTTTGGGAGGACAAGACGTTATCTGTTACCCCGCATCCTTCTACATATTCGGAGCTTTTTTTGAGGGGGGAGTGTGATCGACACCGGGTGAAGCAACGGATGGACAGGGAGATGGGAAGGCATGAGCGGGTGCTGCTCGTGGTCGCAAGGGGTCGTCGCCGAGACGCCGAGAACTCAGGGGTGAGATGACGGCTTTTGTTTACTTAAGGCTCCGCCAAAGCTGACCCCCTTTTAGCTTCTGCAGTTCCTTCAGGATGTTTGTGATTATCTGAACTGGCCAAAGGGATGGGATAATTTTGGGGGAAGTCTGAGCATTGGGATATCCGTGGCTGAGACTCGGGCTCTGGTCGTTCCACCCCAGGAATCGAAGAACCCCGTCAACTCAAAAGTTCTGCGTTTCTACTGGTTTATACATGGATTCTCACGATCCGGGAGTCTTCTCCTCGCTGGGCTAGGGCTATTTGCTGATATAACACCCTTCTCAAGGTGAGTGTTTCCCGTTACATCGAGACATCACTGGCGTTTCTTTTTGTCCCATATACACGTGACTTTGCCTTGATGAGGGCACATACTAGCTTCCATGTCTCCATTGCTTCCTGTGTCAACAAGAATTGACGCCCGGCACGATACCTAAATTATGGATGCTTCTGTCTCATCAAGGGCTGAAGGCTCGGGGAATCTGTTGAGTAACATTCGTGTTGTGAAAATATGGTTGCGCACGCTCGCACGGAGTTCGTCCCGGTCGTTCTCGGGGATCAGAATGTTTTGCGAGTCTGTGAGAGCCGGGATGTACGTTCGGGTTGGGCAGCCCAATACTACATATGTCGCGGAAGGACACGGAGGAGGAGGAGGGGGAGAGGAAGGACGTTGGCTGTCGATGATAGCCTCCAGCTCTGTACCCCACCCGATAAGGCCGACGTCATCGAGGCTAGCATTGTTGGGGGTAAACAGTCCCACTAACTCCACTGCAGGAGCGGTCGTCATCGCTGTTTGGAGTGTAGTGTACGTAGTGCTGCGAATCATCGACAACATGGATTCGCCTCCATCCAATCCAAACAAGTCTCAACTTTCTCCAACTACTTCCCCGCACATGACCGGCATCCCGCTCGTTACATACCTGTCAAACTGCGATCCTGTCTGAGCTTCCCCTCGCATTGACATCCGCGGCCCTGGATTTCTGAGGCACCTATTCGCTGCATACAGACCCTTCTCCTCATACAAACTACTAGTCAGTTGAAACGCCGTCGCCTTCTTCGAGCCACACCCACACTGACGTTCGTCAAACTCCCGTCCTGTCACCAAGATGACTCTCTTACAAAGATCCTTTTTCTCCGCTTCCAGAAACACAGCCATCATCAGATCCCGCTTCCAGACGAAGTCCCTACCACTAGTACTACACTCATACTCACGACTAGCCTCCACCATGGTCCCCAAGGTCCGTCCGTATAAGCAGACTCATTGATGCCAAAAGAACCGCTTTGACCAGCTCCCTTCCTTTTAACAGCTCAAAGATCCATCCCTCTTCAAAAAGGACGTTTGCTACGTCAATGGCGAATGGGTAAAGGCCCACTCGGGGAAGACATTTGAAGTCAACGGTATATCGACCTATCTATGCCTGCATTCCCATGCTGTGTCTTTGCATTTATGCGCATATCACTTACATACAACTAACTCCGCTTCGTTCCTACCTACAAAGACCCAGCAACAGGCAAGCTCATCGGTACCTGCCCCGAATTCGATGCCCAAGACACCAAGAAAGCCATCGATGCCGCCGAGACCGCCTTCGAGACCTTCCGCCACAAGACGGGCCGCGAGCGCTCCAAGCTCCTGCGGAAATGGTATGACCTAATGGTCGAGAACCACGATGATCTCACCACCCTTATCACCTTGGAGAACGGCAAGCCGCTAGCGGACGCCAAGGGCGAAGTCACCTATGCCGCCAACTTCTTCGAGTGGTTCAGCGAGGAAGCTCCCCGCATCTATGGCGACACCATCCCCTCCTCAGTCCCGGGTAACCGCGTATGGACCATCAAGGAGCCCGTCGGCGTGTGCGGCCTCATCACGCCCTGGAACTTCCCCGCCGCCATGATCACCCGCAAGGTCGGCCCTGCCTTGGCCGTCGGCTGCACCGTGGTGTGCAAAGCCCCCGGCGAGACGCCCTTCACGGCGCTGGCCATTGCCGAGCTCGCCCACCGCGCCGGCATTCCTCCCGGTGTCGTCAACGTGATCACCGCCCTCGAAAACACCCCCGAGGTCGGCAGCACTTTGACCACTGACCCCGTGGTTCGCAAGATCTCCTTCACGGGCTCCACGGCCGTCGGCAAGCTCCTCATGAAGCAGTGCTCCGGCACGCTCAAGAAGCTCTCTCTTGAACTAGGCGGCAACGCGCCCTTCATTGTCTTCGATGACGCCGACGTGGACGCGGCCGTCACGGGCGCTATCGCCTCCAAATTCCGCTCCTCCGGCCAAACATGCGTGTGCGCCAACCGCATCTACGTGCAACGAGGGATTTACGACGAGTTCTCCCAGAAATTCGCCGAGCAGGTTAAGAACAACTTCCGGGTCGGCAACGGCTTCGAGGAAGGGGTCACGCACGGCCCACTGATCCACCATCGCGCCATTGAGAAGGTCGAGCAGCACGTCCGCGACGCCGAGAAGAAGGGCGCCAAGGTGGTGGTGGGCGGCCACAGGCTCGAAAGCCTAGGCCCCAACTTTTACGAGCCGACCGTCATCACGGGTATGACCCCCGACATGGCCATGGCGTCGGAGGAGACCTTTGGACCGGTGGCTGGCTTGTTCCCCTTTGACACGGAGGATGAGGTGGTCAAGCTGGCTAACGCGACCCAAGTCGGCTTGGCGGGCTATTTCTTCTCTAGAGATATCCACCGCTGCGTGAGGGTTGCTGAACACCTTGAGGTTGGCATGGTTGGTATCAACACTGGCTTGATTTCGGACCCCGCGAGTCCGTTTGGCGGTGTTAAAGAGAGTGGTTTCGGAAGGGAAGGATCGCTTTATGGTATCGGAGAATACCAGGTGACCAAGATGGTTACGGTTGGAGGTATGGGTAAGCCTTTACAGAAGTGAGCGCAAAGGTGGAGGAAGACTTTACGGCTTAATGTTCCTATGATCATGCAGCGACAGCAGGACAGGCGAATCTAGCATAGGGTCTTGGGTATAATGGTAGTATGGTTGATTGGCTATAAGGACACTACTGTAAAGAAACAAAGGCAGACACAGATGATGCTAAACTGGAACCAAAGACAAAAAATCTCTCGCGAGTGCAAAGCTTTCCATGCCCGTTTGTCTCTCTTATTCTCTCTCTCTTACTTGTTCTTTCCATGAGGGTATCAGAAGAAACCAATCTCAAAAGGGGTATCTCTCGAAATGCAGACCCGATTCCGACCAAACCCGCAGCGATTAATTAGTATGGTAGGGTATTTGTTTTGTTTGTGTGGTGATTATTAAAAAAATTATTTTGAGGGAGTCCTCGCGTCAATCCATCCTAGTGTATCGAACTCGAAGCGGCCGTTCGGACGCCGACGGTGCCGATGTCTAGGCGGCAGCAGTCACAGGGACAGAGGCAGCAGGCTTCTCAGCCTCAGTCTCCTCGGTAGCCGGGGCGGCGGGAGTGGCCTCAGTCTCGGTAGCGGGCTTAGCAACCTCCTCGGTGGTGGCAGGAGCAGCCTCCTCCTTGGCGGCCTCAGCCTCGACCTCAGTCTCGGGGATGGCGGGAACCTCCTCGGTCTTCTCCTCAACCTTGTCAGACTTCTCGGCCTTACCCTTACCCTTGCCCTTGATCGTATCACGGAGACGAGAGAAGGGAGAGGGAGACTTGGGCTTCTCAATCTCCTCGTCAGAGGTGGCCTTCTCCTTCTTGCCAAAGGCGAAGGGAAGAGAGCTCTTGCGCTTATCGCTCTTGACCTCCTTCTTGGGAGAAGACTCGCCGTTGGTGGCAGCGGGGACCTCGACGGTCTCAGTGGGGACAGTCGCGGGAGAGTTGACCTCGGTAGAGAGGGGCTCGGTGGTGTCAACGGCAGGGATCACAGGAGCGGTCTCGGCGACGGGCTCAGTGGTGGCAGCAGGGGCCTCCTCGGTAGCAACGGGCGCAGGAGAGGCAGCCTTCTTCTTGCCGAAGGAAAGGTTGCCGAAAAGGCTGGTGCGCTTGGCAGGGGTGGGCCTGACGGGGGTCTCAGCAGCCTCCTCCTTCTTCTCCTCAGCGGGGGCAGCAGCCTCCTCGACAGGAGCAGCAGAGGTCTCGGCGACAGCGGGCTCGGTGGTGGCAGCAGCCTCCTCAGTGGCGGGGGCCTCGGTGGCGGCCTCAGCAGCAGGAGCCTCGGTCTCACCCTCCTGGGGCTCGGGGACAGCCTCAACGGTGACGGGCTTCTTCTCTTCCTTCTTGCCAAAGCCAAGGTTGCCGAAGATCGAAGTGCGCTTGCGGCTAGCAGAGCGACGCTTGGAACCCTCCTCCTTGGCCTCCTCCTTAGCGACGGGCTCAGTGGCAGCAACCTCCTCAGTGGCAGCAGGGGTCTCCTCGGTGGCAGGAGTCTCAGCGGCAGCCTCAGTGGCGGGCTCAGTAGCGGCAGCGGCCTCGGGGGCCTTCTCCTCCTTCTTCACAGCAGCAGGCTTGAGGGTCTCGATGGTCTTCTTGTAGGTCTCGCTCTCAACAACGGTGGTGGCGAGCTCCTTGGCCTCGGCGATCTTGACCTTGAGCTGACTGACCCAGTTGTCGCGCTCAGCGGTGTTGGAAGCCTTGAAAGCGTGCTTGTGGCCCTTGGCAGTGAAGTGGAACTTGGTAGGACCGTCGGTGGCGGGCTCAGAAGCATCGGCCTACAAAAGTAGCGGTTAGCAAGATGTGCAGCTGATAGTAGCGCAAAAGATCAAGATATCCTTACGAGGTGGATGGCGCCGTGGGGAGCGGCCTTGTCAGACTTCTCGCTGAAGAAGAGGAGACCCTTGCCAGTCTCGGCGGCCCAGGCGGTAACGTGGTGCGCAACATCGGCGGCCTTGTCAGCCTTGAAGCTGCTGATGGACTTCAGATCGACGGCCTCGTTTCCGAACCAGAAGAACTTCTTGGAGAAGAGAAGGTTCCTGGAGGGGGGCGAAAGTGTTAGCTTGATGAATTTCTCCTTCAGGCGCGTTCCGGGGGTATATCCTACTTGGGGAAGTTGGCGGGCTGGCCCTTGTGCTCAAGATGGCCCTCCTCGACGGGCTTGACCTCCTCCTCTTTCTTGTCCTCGGCAGCGGCAGCGGGGGCGGCCTCGGCCTCGGTAGCCTCAGTAGCGGCGGCAGCGGCAGCGGGCGCAGCCTCGGCGTCGGCGACAACAACGGGAGCCTCAGTGACGGGGACAACCTCGAGGGGCTTGATCTCGGCGGGAACGTCGGCGGTGGTGACAGGTTGAGTCTCCTGGGGGAGCTCAACGTTCTTCTGTTCGTCGGACATCTTGGGTAGTGTGAAATAGGGATGGGTATCTGGAAAAAGGGAAGAAAAACAGAAAGGGGTATTGGGTATCACTGAAAAAAATACAGCAAGAAAAGGCAGAGAGCGTGCGCTTGGGGGTGATTATTACGCGACGTTGCTCTGACACGAGGTGGTTGGGTGTGTGGGAAGCACAAGAAAATCTCTGGAGGGAGAAGTTGTGATGGCGGGAGGGAAAAGAGAAGGGAAGGGAAGCAGGAGGAAACCGCGTGATGACCCCTGGGGTACTTAAGTTTATTGAAGCCCTGGCAAGTACGGGCAATGAGTGGCCTGGCCTAGCAGCTCCCCTAGCAGGCAAGAAGTCTGGGCGCACTAGTAACTTTGCAGCAACTCGTCCCGGGTTGCCAGGTCAAGACCACACCAAGAGGCATGGGGGGGTGTTGGCTTCAAGGTTCTCGCTTCCACTTCCACTTCACTCACACAAGGTCCCCTCGTCCCCCTCGTCGTTCGTGGGAAAGAAAACGGCGGTAGGACTTCCATCTTGGTGATCTGCGCTCTTGTGAGTGGTCGACTGCTTCCTCCCCCTTCACGTCCTGTCACCCCCTGCTCACCACTCACCAGAACCCCCCTCTTCTTCTGTGGACAACCAACGTCCCGTCGTCCCATCTTCCGTTGCAGTTTTTTTTGCTTGCTACAGGGTCTGAAACGGAACATGAAGGTCTGTGTAGCGGCAGTTGGCCGACAGTCGGCGCCAAGAAGCCCCTAATTCCAACTTGAAGCTGTCAGAGCTGCCTGAGCTGCCTCAGCTATGCGAGGTTGGTGCTGGTGCTTTGACGGAGATGAGAGATGTCCTGGTTCATGGATGAACCAAACTGGTCCGTTGTTTCTAACTGGTTAGCAGCTAGTCCGACAGGGATGACAATGTGTGATTTTCGCATGCGCTCTGGCTGCACGCACAAGGCGCCTCCTGATTGGCTGCAGTGCCGGCCAAGTCGTCCGCTTAACCAACAATACCTGGCAGGCAAGTACCGGCATTTTTGCTTTCTGCAGGTCAATTTCCCCCTTTCCAACGACCTGTTGCGAAAGGTGTTGATTGCCCTACGAGAATCCTACGAGATTGGTACCTGCCGATGAGCGTGCATGTAGAAGCCGTTAGCGCCAGGAGACCCCTTAGCGTCTGGTAGCTTAATTAGACCCCCTATCCCCGTGCTCCTTGCCCGTCGATCACGCTATGGAGACGGTGGGGCACGGCGCTTCTTCATCAAACATAGTACGACTTCTCTGTGTGCTTTTTGCCCAACACAGGAAGTAGTCTGTCCCGTCTTGATTTTCCAGTCTCGCACTTTCTTTCGCTCGTCTCTCGCATCTTTTGTACATGTCGCTGCCGCAGAGTACTAGTTTGCGAGCGATATGGCGGCTTGCGAATCGAGGCCAACAGCAGGTAGGCAGATATTGTTTACCCTGCAGTGGTTAGGCTGTGCCCCCTGCATCATGTATTGAGATGGGACTTTGACACCTTGCCCAATCCAACTCCACCCGATAAATCCGTATAAAATTTAGATCCCTTCTCAATCCTTCAGCACTCTACTGTGTCCTCTTGGTTTGTCCTCTCCACAACGAAGAGAACGCAAAACTAAAAGCGAAATACTGCTCTGGTTGAGTTCTTGGGTTGACGCTGACCTGGCTTGCTGGCAAGACAAAGCGGGCAATGGGGGATCCACACTTGAAATTTCCAGGCTTGGCCCATTTTCGTGTGCAATCAACCTTTGCTGTCAAGACTCCACTGTGACTGGAACGGTACTGGCGACTGCTGCGCTGCAATTGAATCGAAATGCCAGCGTTCAGATGAGAATGGTACGGTAGAATCGCTTGATGTTGATTGTAATCAGTTGAAGCGCCTGTCTGCGGCGGTGGAGAGAATACGACAGAGCGGCGCAAATTATTGACATCATAACGACGTTGGTCGCCTCTGTCTATGGATGATCCAGATGATTGTAGGAGTCATCCCTTTCTTACGGACATTTTTTTTCTTCTAAAAACTGTACCGTGGGCGGCGCACTGATCCTTTGGGATTGAGACCCCAGTTACGGTTTTGGTGACCGGGGTAGGAAAACCACATGCGCCATCGACGGCGAGCAACAACTAACAGGACTCGAAGTAAAGAAGAATGGTTGCCCCGTTTGGAAACAAGCTGAAAAAAGAGTTTATACACCATGAAGGCAATCTCCACGAGCTGCAAGATAATACTTTTCTATTTGCATTTCCGCAACTGGTGAAAAACCTACTCTTCCTTCTTTTTTTTTTTTTTTTTTTTTTTTTTTTATTGGGTCAGAAAAAAATTGTTCACTGTCTAGTCAGGAACTGGGCAAGCTCGGGCTCAAACGATGCTAGTGCGATATCCGTGACCTCCCTCCACTCCAAGGGGCGCGATCTAATGTCAGCTTTTGGGACGCCGTCAAGGATGCTTCTTGCGAGATTGGCGATAGTGTTCGGAACAAGTCCGGGCCAGAAACAGAGCAAATTTGACAAAAGAGACACCCGTGATCCGAAATGGGTTGGTTTCTGTTGCAAGAGCGGTGAGATCAGAGATAAGATGTTCACGAATTCCTTGTCGTATCAATATTGACGACTATCTTATCACACCAACACGCAGAAGTGCTAGTGTACGGAGGCCTGACCCGGCTCTTGTCGTATTTTGTCGTTTGTGATTGCGATTTTATAGGTTCGGTCAACCCAACGACTTTTTTCTTGTTGGTCTTGGTAACAGGGCCTTTCCGCGCCATGTTTAGCTTGACCAAACTGTCGCCTCTCCTCCAGTCATTTGAAGGCCGACTGTTCGCCATTGTTGGTTTCGAAGAGCTCTTCCAGTCACGCAACGACTCACATGAGTTTGCGCAAGATGGGGTTTACCCACGGGCTCCTCTCGTGGTCTGATGGATGCAACCCAGAAACAAATGCTGGACCATTTAAGAGGTCGACGGGATGGCGTTTCCACACATGCAACCACCATCCCGTACGCATGATCTCTTTTGCAGCTGGCTTGAGCGGGGTTTGTAGTTGGCATGTAGCGCCTATACTTTTCAGTGGGCGTCACCGGACAACTTTTGGATGATGGTTGCAATGCGCCGCGCGCCCTCTTCCTTCAGCCCTTCCTGACGTGTCGGTGTCGAGAAAGCTGTCAAGCTCCGTTTCAAGATGTCGTCCGATAACGGCTCCGCGCCGTATCCGGAGAGCATGCTGATGGAGCAAGAAACAAAAAAAAATATGAAAGTTTCGGATTAGTGCTGCAATAGCCATTTCCCCGCCGTCGCCGGTCGCGATCCCGAACTTGACCGTGGCAGCCGAGTCTCCAGACGGGTACCATTCGGCTCTGGACCAGGCTGTCCTTGATAGCTTTGACCGCTGCTCTATCGCCCAGGCTCCAGCAACCGGCCCGATCCACTTTTCCTCGAACACAAGCGAGGTTGAGGACCTGACGGTGAGTCGGTGAGGTTCTCCCCTTGCGTTACCTACAATGCTCCCATCCGAGATGGAGGTGGATGAGGCCTGTACCGACAGCCGACAATGGTGACGGGCAACGAGCTCGAGCGGGACGGGAAAGCTTGAATGCGCAACCTGCGACCTGCATACCTGTCCTTCGGGGTTTCAAACAGGTGTTCGTCAAACCAGAATCGGGGTCCAAGAGAGGAAAAAGAACAAGCCACTTGTTCACAAGCCGCGCTCCCGCCCATTGCTGGCCACCTCATGTTTCCCATCTTTTTGTCGTCTTGGTTGATATTCATAATTTGACCTGATCTGTTTTGTCGCCAAAACTCTTTCCACCTCGAGGAGCACAACCTGGAAAGTGCGCCTACGTACATGGTATTAGCGTCAGGTACAGAAGCGCTGCTCTGTGGATTCGAGCATGGTCCCCCCTGACATTCGGTTCAAAGCTCCGTTTCCCTCTCGATGAACTCCGACAGACGGGGCGTGTGAGCGATTGCCGGGAGCATGATCACCATCTACATTTCGCTTCACCTAGGTAAAGTCTTACTACGAAAACTGCTCTGACATGCTTCTCCAGTGTTCTTCGACTGCACACACATTTCACACATGATGTTGGTGTCATATGGCCAGAGTCACGGGCGGGTCCGGGCCCGTTCGCATGTGGGGCCTTTTTGATGGGTTTGGGTTTCTATCTCGCACTCCCTCGCCAAGACATCCTACCTCTTTTATCATCAACATAACATGAATATAGGCAACGACGACTTGGACCTCGACTTCAACAACCTACTCAAAAACCAGCAAGATTACCACGTAAAAATCCGATGACCATCGACAAGAACCGACGGTAAAGAGGGGGCGTTATCGTTCTCCAATGTCCGATCCTTTTCCTTGCCCAGAGAACTATCTCGTGCCTTGTCCTCAGACCTCCTGTGCCCCTCTCGTCGAGCAACCCAACCCGTCGATCAAAGCGATCACTGCTCTCAACACACCCACATCTCACACCATGTGACCTGGCACCAAAGACGCACTCAGACACAGGCGTAGGACATCACGTTGATAACCCAAGATTGCCCGCCGGTGATTGGATCTACAATGAGAACTCCCGCGCCTTTATCCATCTTGACATCAACCACTTTGACAAAACTGCTCATTCACCTTTTCCGAGCACCGAAGCCTTATCAATCGTGATCATTGGAAAATATGACGGGATTTTGCTGCACTTTGAAGACCCGGAGGTGGTCTCACCAAGACGCTCTTCAGGATGGTTGAGGGGAAGGCTAAAGTACTGACGATACGCTAGGGTGGTGGCACAACCTTAGCTTCATCTATAATCGTAAGTCTACTCGATTTCTGGGTGCACGTGCTATTTCGAGATTGTTTCTTGAGTCGCCTCACAGACATACTACAACGTCCGGATCTCGATTCAATCGCAAGCTATTTTCCAACGAGCTCTTTGCTGTTCCTATTCTGTTTCCGACTATTGGTACCTTCAGGGCAATGAAACGATATCGTACTTTGGCCGGGCAGCGTCACCACTTGTCCTATCACAATCTTTTCTGGGAGTCTTGAGCTTACGTTTACCTGCCTGCTATCCTTTCCATTGTTCAACCTTGAAGTCCGGCAAGCACCTGACATGTTTTGCCGCTCGGTTCCCGTCCAGGCAGTCCACCTCCATGTACCTCGCAAGGTTCCCGTTCCGCCTGCGTCCGTTTGCCCACCTTGAGCTTACTCTTCCAGTCAAGGCGTGCGGGTAGCCGTGATTGTGGGCGGCCTTATCTTTTCGTGGGTATGAAGGCGTGGGTTATACAGGACACGCCAATCAGTGCAGATTGCAGGTCACCTAATAGTAGTGTGTGTACTTGGCGGATTATCCTTTCCAGATCCTTTCACACGACCGTTTCTTGTTAGGCGGCTCAGTTCTCATTGAAAATCGAACAATCCAGAACCGTTCAGCTTTGGCCAGTTGCATATTGCCTCGACACCATTTGTCTCCCTTCACTATCTGTCGTCGGTAGCTCAAGTCAAGGTCATTTGCATCTGTAGGGCCTGCCAATCATGGGCCTAATACCCGATCATTTCGATACTTTTCTGCACTCCGTTGGAAATCCTTAGATACCATTTTGTATATGAAAATGCATCAGCGCATGCGGTCTACCACTCGGCGCATTATACCGAATCAAGGGCAGCTAATCGCAGAGTGACTTGAGTTCATAATGATTTCGGCGACCACTTGCCCTCTTTCTTCCTTTCGTGTGCTTTTCTCAGGTGTCTGTGAGGACACTGGAGCGGTGATGGGTACGGCAAATGTACACCGTATCACGGCGTGTGAGACATATAGGATCGCTGCGGAGAGTCCCGGTTCCTGTCTGTCTTGGATATCAACCAGCGTTGGCCAGACGTTTCTTCAGCAACTAGTACTTACAACTTTACATGAAGACGTGAGGCTACCCGGTTGCTGTAGTGAGGATAGGGGCTGGTAATTCGTCTGGGGTTTGGTTCAGGCTCGTCTCGGCAGATATGAACTACAGGTAGAGCCCGATGGGACTGTGTCAATTCAACTCAATATATGTTGCGTGTCTGGGATTCTAACTTGACTCGTACATTGATAAAGCTATTATTTGCAAAGTGCGTCCTTGTTCGAGATCTTCAGTATTTGGAAGCTTGCGCAAGGACAGTTTGGCTCCGTACAGTGGATGTTGATTGTTATCAACACCAGCAAAGTCTTGCTGGGGTCATCATCGAGGCGAATGGCCACTGCTCGTGGTCAACTTTGGGATTCATTGCATCTTGATACGAATTAGTCATGACGACTGCTAAAGTACATCGTCAACTCTGGACGATAATTACATGTGGCTTTTTGAAAAAAATATCCGCGGCACCCGAAAAACGGAATACGTTGGAAATTATGCCTTGACATGCTGCCCTACTAAGACACTCACCTATATCTCACGTCAAACTCAACACTGGCTTGGACCATGTAGTTCGATATCTAGGGAGTCAATGATAGAAGCAGTTTCTTTATTTTGGTATCTGTTCTCACCTAAGAGTGCCGTTGAGTGTCTTCCTTCGAGCCATTAGATCCTGCACTATACCTCCATGCTAACAAGGCCGGACCAACCTTGATGGCATTCATTTTTATTCTGTTTTATTTTATTCCTGCGCCTAGATTTCGTAAGGAATAATTATTCCTACGGGAAATACCAGAGAAACTCGCGAAACTGGTCAAAAGCTCTCCATCTTTGGGCGCCGGCTAGATGGCAGACCTGTACAGGCAGCTGGCAGGACAAGACCGGGTCCTATAGTACCGCATTTTCTCGGGGCATCCATCTTTAGGTTCCCAGGAAATCAGGCATACTGTATAAGCATACTGCAACATTTATGCCCACCAAAATTTCTATGCAAGACCGTGATTCTCAATGTCTCCACCCTCCAGCTCCCTTGAAGAAATAGGTAGGAAAAGGCAGAGCTCCAGATGAATCGAATTTACAGTGCTCCGGGGTGGCAACACAACTCCCCCTCTTATTTTGGTGGGCATAAAATGCACAGAATTGGGCATATGTACGTGGATTTATGTCTGATTTCCTGGAACCTAAAGATGGATGCCCCGAGAAGATGCGGTATACCCAAGTGTGCATAAGTCCACGTGGCAGGCAATGTCCTTGAGTTTTCACTGATTAGACAGACACATTTACTGGAATACCGCAAAGACTCGGGCCATTAATTTTCAATTTTCCGCGAAATCATGCATCATCAGACATGCATGTACCCAAATCTGTACATTTTATGCCCGCAAAGAATAATAGGGGAGCCATGTTGCCACCCCGGAGCACTGTAAGTTTGATTCTTCTAGTATCCTGCCCTTTCCACCTTTTTTTTTCCTTCTTTTTTATCCAAGGGTGCTAGAGGGTACCGTAGGAACTCGCCAAACTGGCAAACCTCTAATGCATAGAAAAGAGGTACTTGGGGCATAATACAAGCAGATCTGTGGTGCTCAAGTCCGAGCCTGTGCTTTGGAACGCAGGCAGGATAGTGTTGGCCAGTATTGTAGAGCCCTCACTAACTGAGCGGACATATGGACGGGAGTATGCCGCTTCCTGTGCTTACTGTCGGGCGCTCAAAGAGGGTTGGAGGTTTGCCAGTTTGGCGAGTTCCTACGGTAGGGACATTCAATGAAAATCATTGTCTTGCATATAATTTCTGGCGGGCATGAATGTTGCAGTATGCTTACAGACTATGCATGATTTCCAGGAAAGTTGAAAATCAATGGCCCGAGTCTTTGCGGTATGCGTGTGTGGGAGGCATCATGATCCTTTTGGCAGATTTCTGTCATTGTCCGGTACGCAGAGGGGGATCGCTTTTGGCCAGTTTCGCGAGTTCTTGAATGTAGACTACGTGTGCTCCCGTTCTTCCGTCTGACCTTACTGTGGGTACTTACCTACTTACCTACCTATTTAATACGGGCAGGTTCTCGCAGGCAGCCGGCCATTGTGCCTTCCATGCTATTGTCGGGCAGGTATAATAAACCTGCAGTGCGGTTATTGGTGAATGCCCGTTCAGTAAGCCGAAGGCATCGGACGGATTCTATTGTTGCCTTGCGTTCTGTCTCTCCAGTCATCTCAAGCTCGACTCGTGCCAGACCTATCTAAAGGTGTACCTCCCACTTGGAATTGGTCGCCCGAACCCAACAAGGCAAACAGTGCTTGGAGACTAGACGGTGAGCAACTACAACAGATGAAGGGTCTATTCTGACTCCAGCCTGACGCGGATTGCACCAAGCTGGCCATTAAAAGGCGAAGCCCCTCCATCAACCTCATCTTCGACACGCTACTAGATCTTCGAGAGACCAAACCTTGATTCGACAACCTACTCATTCACGCCACTCGCACCATCTTCCAAACACAAACTTGGGACACGTTCTCTTCCCCCATATCACCTCCGACTTCCCTATCCATAAACTTCAGGCCTTCGCCATCTCTTCCCATTCTTACTTACATCTCGCCCTTCTGCCGGTTGGAACAAGTCCGCCCGTCCCTTCTGTGTGTACGCACAAACTGCGCTGCTTCCTACCACATACAAGCGCTCTCTTGAATCATTCGACAATCACCAACAGAGATCCATCAGCCATCCGCTGTTTTCTTTCCTGAACTTTCGGGCCACTCGCTCTCAGAACCATGGCGAAACATCGTAATCGGAAGGCTGAGGGCCGGCGAGGAGATACGTCGGAGACATCTGCTGTCCCGTTCGGGAAAGATTGGAACAAGGAGAATACCTCTGTCAACACCCAAGCTGGCAAACGTTACCCTCTCCCAGGAACAGTCGTCGACTTGTCCGGACCGAGATCAGACTTCTTCCAGCAGATTGAGCTTCTTCAGAATCACAAGCCTGCCCGTTACGAAAGCCTGCTTGACTTGACAAACACCGTACGTAAATCCCTATCCACGAAGTCTTGTGAGGCAGCGGCTGATTTTCCTTTTACATAGACATCTAGCGTCAACAAGTCCAACGTACGCTTGTTCAACTACACGCGCGAATGGGTCTCTTTGGGTGATAAGAAGCCCGAGGATGTGTACGACATGGTACACGAGCGCGATTTCGTCCGGCAATTCCCCCGTGTGCACAAAGAGACTTCTGAAGCCGAGTGTTTAAGAATCAAGATGTTTTACCACAAGATGAACCAAGACAAGGCATTCCGCTTGATGCAAGCTACCAAGGATTGCGAACCAAGATTGCTACTGGCACCTACTCCGGATGATGGTATCCTCAATACATCCAAGTCGATCAAAACTGAACTTGGGAGGAACCCTAACAACAGAAAGAACGGACTGGTACATATTATGAACATCCCGGAGATCTTCGATAATGTAGTGGACTACATCAAACCCGCCGTTGCCGACCTGACATCGTTGGCAATGGCTTGCAAGGACACCGCTCGATTGATCAGTGGTCGGTTTGCAGTTTGGGACTTCTCTTCGGGTAACTTCCATCTTGAGAAAGGCTACAAGAACGAAAAGGGCGGAATCCGCATGAATACCTTGATCATTACACCAATCACCCAAGTTGCAGCTGCTAGCCCTCAAGACAAGCCGTTTGAGCAGGAGTTCAAGTTGTTGACTAAGATGGTTCGTAAAATGTGTATCAGTCTCACGAGTTTCCGAGACTTGATGCTGGACCAGATCCCTTACCTCAACACCAAACTGGTAAGGTTGATGATCAAGTCAATGCCCAATCTTGAAAGCATCGCCATTACGCGCTGCAAACAGCTTGATTTTACCAAACTTGACTCCCTCCTTCGCATCATTCAGGAGAAGAATAGGCTTGCAGCTACCGGCCGCCACAAGTGGGTGCGCTTGGATTTCTACCCGTATTTCTTCGAGGGTCCAACTTCTGCGCCCAACACACTGGGATCTTTCGGGTTGACCTACCACAAGCCAACCTTTGACGTGCCGAAGGCCGTCTTTGCTCGGATTATGGCGTGCTGGGATCTTGCCGCGACACTCGGCGTCGACCTTCTCAGTGACAGCTCAGGGATTTGGCACTTCATTCGTCGTTTACCTGGTCCAGATCCATTCTGGGCTTACAAAGCTCGTGAAGCGGTCTTCACATGGGAACGCTATAGGGTCTGTTCCTATCGTACTTTCGACGCGTATCGGAAACTCAACAGGCACCTGTGGAACGAGTTAGGCGCCGCAGTCTGTGGCGATACAGCTGAGAAAATATCTCGTGAGCCGAAGGAGAGGGAGTGCAGTGGATGCTATACCCTTCTCCCAGATTATTTCTTCTCCAACACCAAGAATCTGGTTTGCTGGGGATGCAGAATGGGTGCTTTTGTGGCGAACCATGAAGACAGCCATTTCCGTGACCGCACCAATCGCGTCATGCAGATCTGGTTGGGTAACCGGAAGCGTTGGCTTTTTCAAGAACTCATTTATCTACCCAATGACAGGGACGAGGAGAGAGATGCCCTCAAGATGGCCAAATTGACAGACAAAGCTTGGCGTTACGAATTCTTTGAGTTCAAACCTGGCATGCCCCGATTTCCGCAGGCGATACACTGGGAAACGCATCTATCCTCAACCAAGAGGACAAGACAGCTTTTGTGGCCATTGACCGGACGGACAAATCATCGTGAAGGTGGCCCTCAGTATGAGAACGCATACCTCATGGCTGGACTGAATCCTATGTGGGATGAGCGGACGAAGAAGAGATATCGAGACGTAGACAGAGCAAATCGTCAAGATTTCTTTGGCATATATGTTTCAGATTTGCATGCCCTGCCTGATTGGGAGCCGTACAATCGTAACTGGGAGGCAAGAGAAAGGGGCAAGGCGGATTTGGAGAGGAAGCCTTCGGCGTATTTGGGGAATTGGTAGAAACCACATTGTCACGCTCAGGACGCATCGCTCAGATTAGGAGACGATGGTCGATGTTGAGGACTGAAGTTGATCTCGGCGGGCTTTCGAGGTGCTGGACGGTGTGCCCTTGACGCGTTTTATTACGCAATCAGATACTGTATATCATTGCACCGTTCAATCGCCCATCTAGGTCTCGAGATATGGAAAGTTCGTTGAGAAAACCCACAGATACCTCGTTCTGCGGATGGCTAGTGAGAAGAAGAGGAGAGCCATGTCATCACATATCTGGCCTCTGGTGCAGTTCGTGATAATGTTTTTCTTTTCGTCAGATTTTGTCAAGCATTTGTGAGGGGAGAGGTTAGGGGGTAGGAAAGGGACTTGACGCTAAATCATGACTGATAGGCTATATAGGGATGGAACTGTTTTCTCTTCTTTTTTTTTTCCAGGTGCCTCGTCAGTTTTTCAGACTTTCATAGTTTCTTCGAACTCCACTCCAGGTTTACCATCCAACCTTTCTTACATTGGAGGGGTTTTAGTGTTGCTATGTTAGCAGAGCACTCAGTAGCCACGAAATTGACCGAGTGTCAAAAAGAAAAGGAGAGATCGAAGAAGATACCTGAGTGACACTCACATGAAAGACATAACGCGGGAGCTGCGTAAAGATAGGGGTATCATATTTACTTGGGCAGGCAACACTCGCTAACACGCTAATCATACAATGATACATACAAACAACAAAAAACACCAAGGCAAACTGCGAAATCAAGCCTCACCGTCGGAGACATCCATAACCTCCTTCTCCTTCTCCTTTCCCTTCTCCCGTTTCCTCTCCCTCGCTCCCTTCTTCTCCACCTCATCCATCATCTCCCTTGCCTTTTCCTCATCCTCACCCGTCCTGACCGCTCCAGGAACGTTCGTAACATGCCTCAAGTTTCCAAAACTCAAACAGTCACTAATCCTCTTCGTCCCGCTAAATAGCATCACCATCCTTTCAATCCCACACCCCCACCCGCCCGTTGGCGGCAGTCCGGACTCCAGGGCCTGGACGTAACTCTCGTCCACCTCCATTGCCGACTCCCCTTCATCGTTGTACACACCGGGAGCTAAGCTAGCCTCGCGCTTGGCGGCGTTGAGCTGGTCCACAAACTTTTGCCTTTGCGAAGCCGGGTCGTTTTCTTCTTCGTACATGTTTGCGAGCTCCTTGCCGTTGATGAAGAGCTCCGTGCGCGCGGACACGTGTTGGCCTGTTTTGGGGCAGACAAAGCTCTTGGAGAGGGGTGACATACAGACTGGGTGGTGAATAATGAAGAGCGGTTTGGTTAGGGAGTAAGGCTCGAGGAATTCGCTGGCTAGGTTGTCGAGGAGCTTGGCGAGCGTGATGTCGGGTTTGTTCAGTCCCGGGACCTCGATTTTGTGCTGCTTGAGAAGAGCGAGGAGGTCCTCGTGCGATGAGGAGGTGGAGAGGTCGGGGAGCTTGAAGCCGAGGGCGGATTCAAGGGCGGGTATGAATTCGAGTTGTTGAAAAGGCCGCTGATACTGCGACATGTCGATGGCAGGCAAAGAGTCGAGCTTGGTGGCGATCAGGTCGCGGCAGTGTGAGGCGGCGCCGCAGATGAGCTCCTCGGTGAGTGATATGAGGTCGTCCAGGTTGGCGTAGGCGTTGTAGAACTCGCACATGGTGAATTCGGGGTTGTGCGTCTGGTCGATGCCCTCGTTGCGGAAAGCAGGGCCGAGCTCGAAAACTTTGTCCACGCCGCCAACGACCAGACGCTTGAGCCAGAGCTCGGGGGCGATGCGCATCGCAAGGTTCTTGTTCACCGAGGTCTCGGACGCGGTGACGGTGAAGGGCCGGGCGGTGGCACCGCTGGCGTTTTCGGCGAGGATGGGCGTCTGGAACTCGAGGAAGCCACGCTCGTGAAAGAAGTCGCGGAGGTACTTGATCAGGTGCGATCGCAGCCGGAGAGTATCGATGGTCTTGCGGTTGACCAGCATGTCAATGTGACGGTGCTGGATCCGGACTTCCTCATCTTCGAGCTTGAAGGGCAGGGGAGCCAATGCTGGAGTTAGGAGCTCGGGCAGCCTTGTGGCTTCGATACTCAGTTCACCAGTCGGTGTTTTGGTTGCTCGGCCGGTGATGGCTGTGTTGGAAGAAGAGGTTCACGGTCAGTCATGCCACTGTGATTGTCATATGATTGATGGGCAAAGAACAAGGGAAAGAAGACATATGGGACCAGAGTCACGTACAGACAATATCGCCTCTATTCAACAGTTTGGCAAGCGCCTTAAATTCTCCTAGCTCGACTCCTGTAACTTGCAGCTTATTGAAGTTACAGAGTCCCTGAACATGCTCGAACTCGCCTTTGAGGTCGAGGAACATGAGCTTGTTGCCGGCCCGACGGACAGACTGTACCCGGCCATGAATGATGACCTCTTCGTCGGCATGCTTGCCCATCTCAACATCCTTAAACTTCTCCCGGAAGATGGGGATCCGCATGGGCGCACCGCCTTCATGGCGAATGCGGGGATACTTGAGGGCATTGGACTGTATCAACTCATGCTGCCGAGCCAGGTGGTAGAAGCGCAGGTACGCCGTGTTGCGGGCGCCCACTGGCTTCCACTTCCAGGCATACGGCCGCAAGAACTGAAGACAGGGAGTAGATGAATTCATTATTGCTTCTATCAAGATTGTCATGAATCAGTTAGCATGGCGGGTTGTCTTGGACCAAGAAGAGCTGTTGACAAAAGTGGTGAGGGGGATGGGTAAAAGTTCAGAAATGGAGCATAGTGTGATCATGCACGCGCAAGCGCGTGTCAGTCGCAACGGTTCTAATGTTTTGGCAGATCATCATGAAGAGTAGGACATATGGGCATGTGATTGTATATCGGAAGAACTGTGTGTTGGTAGACTTACAATCATGGTGTTTGCCCCAGTGTGTTTTGCCCACCTGGAGCTTGATGTAGAGGCGAAAGATTTGTCTCGGCACGGTCCATGCCGCCTTTTATGTCGTACTCTTTTTTTTTTTCTGCCGCTCGGGCCGTTGTCTGCGAACTCAGCCGAAACTGGAGCGGCTCTGTGTAAGAGGGGTCGTGGCCAATCAGAGCCCCCAATTGGCCTCACCGAGCGTTACCGGCTCTTCACCTTGTATCCCTTCTTTACCGAACTTGGGCCTCCCACTCACCGTGAGAGCGCGGAGGGCCGCAGCCTAGCATTAGCCGCGCCCGTACCGCCTTTTAGGTGAGTGAGTGGGTCAATGGGCAGAAAGCGGATCCAAAAGTTCTGTAAGCCAAGAGAGAAGCTGCCTGGAAGCTTGTTGCGCCCGCCCGCGAAAGAGAGTGTCGTCGCTTCGCTGCAACGGAGCCGCTGACATCAACCTACCCGCGACGCATCACCTTCCACGATCCCAAAAGTAGGTCGCCCCCCCCCAAGACCCGGTCTCAGATCTACAACTTACAATCCCAACAACCAAAAGCTCCTCTAAACACCACGAGCTTTTGTCTATTCACAGCGGCACTTGAACGTTTTTCTTTCGAGTCCCATCTCTCCAAATCCATTCAAAATGTTCGGACTCGGCAGGCCGCAGCCCACTTCGGCCGAGAAGATTGCCGCCGTTGAGAACGAGCTCAAGGTTGTCGCTGAGATGCACTCTCGGTATGTTTTCTTTCCTGCATTCTGTACCCCCTCCTCTCCCTACCTTTGCTTTCCCCCTCTTCCTCTCTTCTTCCTCTCTTTCATTGTACCCTTAAATCCAACTCTCTTCTTTTCCCATAAACCCATTCCTTCCTTCCAACTCTATCACTCCAACCGTCCCCTACCAACACCCACACCCATCACCATAACCACACCCATGACCATATCCACCGAGGCAACTAACTAACATGACACTCTTCAAACAAACAGCATGGTCAAGATCTGCACCCTCAAGTGCATCGACAAGTCGTACCGCGAGGGCGACCTCAGCAAGGGCGAGTCCGTCTGCCTCGACCGCTGCGCCGCCAAGTTCTTTGAGACGCACCAGAAGATCTCGGACCAGCTGCAGAAGGAGACCCAGGCCCGTGGTGGAGGTGGCTTCAGCATGTAAAACAGCCTTTGTTTTTTTTTGGATTACTGGAACGGGGAAGGAAGGACACGACGACAACAAAACAAAAGAATAAAAAGTTATACCCACCCGCTCGCATTGATCCGGCTTCCCAACCCGCCCGCCGGCTCTTGGTTCTCGGCAGACAGAGGATAAGCAAGACATGGAGCAGGAGAGGACATGAATTAGGTGCTAGGAGAAGCGGGGGGGAGGGAGGGGGCGCAGTGTCTACCTATGAAAGAAGGCCGAAGGACTGCGTCCCGTGTATTATACACCTCAACACCATAGCATTGTGACTTTTGGAGATAGAGGATACTGTGGATAGGGAACAACGCACATATGCGGCAACTGTTGGTTGAACATTGACGAGATACTCGATTCAACGACATTTTACGGTTGACCTGTGATGATTGTCGATGAACACCGACGGTTCTGCCTGGGCATTCAGCATGATCTGGAAATCAATGAGAGCAAGGACCAGATACGAGTATGAAGCCACTCGGATAGCATCAACAGTGAAGAACATGTTCAGTCCCTTCTTCCACGGTCGCCCCATATACTCGATCGGTGTTTCAAGCACCGAAACTAACTAATGAATTACCTGCTGTAGCTATACCCAACTCCTTCCTTGCCTAATATCTATTGTTACGTATACAAAATCCGGCCTCTTCGACAGCCAAAACCCGGGTATTGTTGGATTCCTGGCTGCAACAGACCGGAAAGTTAACAACATAAAAGAGAGCAAAAAAGGCGAAATCCAATAAAAGATAATAAACAAATGAAACAAAGAAAAAAAAAAAAAAATTAAAAAAAATTAAAAAAAAAAAAAAGGCTCCGTGCATCCATTCATGACCTCCCACTTCCAGCATCCATACTTTTCTGAAAGACAACCGACCTATGCGAGCTCCCCCGATATACACAAATGAAACCGCAAACCACGCGGCACTGACTTCTTTTGTCTCTTCCAGAGATACCTCTATTATCCAAAAAGAAAACCATCTTGCTCAACCTCCCACTCTCACCTCCTACAAACAACAACCAACAACAAAACACTACAACCACAACAACCACCTCCCCACCCCAACCACTCCCCTCCCAATCCCCAAAAACACCCTCGCAATCATCACCACAAACCACACATACCACATAAAGCCCACCAGCACCCACTCAACCGCCAACCACCCAGCTCTCCTCACCCACCTAAAGCGCCTCCGCCGTCTCCTCACCATTCGGTCAATCATATCCACCACCCTCTTCACCTTCAGCCGCTGGTGTGTCATCAGATCGCCGCCGGCGTCGTCCGCCTCCTCAGCCGCTCGCCTCGTCATCTCCGTCAGCTCGCCGCTGATTCGGCTCCGCAGCGCTTCGACACGGTTGGTCATGTGCGGGGCGGTTTGGGTTTGGAAGACGGCGACGGAGGACTGGAATGCCGTTGCAGAGTTTTGGATGGAGGTGGAGAGGATGTTGGCGGCCAAGGGGAAGACATCGATCTGGGAAACGGGGCGGACAAGGAGCTGTTGACGAGTGGAAGGGTCGGGGGAGAGGGCGACTATGTCTGGCCAGGAGAGACGGGAGTTGTTGTTGATGTGGCTATCAGCGGTTGTGGTGTTGGCGTTTTCGTGGTCGGTCTTGTTGGAGGTGTTCAAGAGCTTGTCGGCTTTAGCGCGCCTGTCGATTTCCATTGCGTGGATGCCGGAGCTTAGGAGAAGCGCACGTAATCGGGCAATCTCCCGCTTGGAAACGATGGTCTGGGGAGGGACGGGAGTGGCGTTCTCTCGGTCGGCGGCTATGGACCAGCATCCTGCTGAGGAACTGTTGGCGAGTTGACGTCCTTTAGCCATGGATAACATGGCGTTCAGGCGAGCGTCGGCGTCTTGTACACCACCAGCGTCTGTATTGACGCTGCTCTTCCGCGAGCCTTCCACGTCAGGTACGTCGGAAGGCCCCCATGGACGTAAGGAAGTGATCTCCAGCGGACCTGGAGATGACGTCGGCGATGCATTCTGAATGTCGATTTTGGGCGGTTTCAGAAGTTCAAAGCGGGAGGACCGACGGCTGAGCGGTTGCGAAGGGGGACTAGCGCTAAGCAAACCGTTCGGGTCGATCGAGCCGCCAACGGACTTGGTCTTGCTATGACGCTTTTCCGCGGTGGGTATAAACTGTGGCATAACATCCAGGTAGTTCTTCTCCCCGTTCGCCTTTCCGTGGTTAGACGGACTACGACTGGCTTTTCGTGGTGGCGACCTGGGTAAGGATCTGGACCTTCCTCGACTCTCCGCATCAGACTCATCCGAAGAATCATACTTGTCCAAGGGACCTGGGGCAGCCTCTTTTCGCCAGAACATATCGCTGACTTTGGAAACACCACTACGCAAAACACTATCAATGCGTTGACCCCGGAATAGCCCTTTCAGGCTACTGTTACCATCCTCCCGAAGTTTGTAAATCCCTGTGCTCTTATTCGACTTTTGGCTAGAGTCGGTTCCTTTTGTCACTATTTTGCGAAGAGGACTACGGGAGGTCTTCCGCTTGGGAGGTGAAAGCATGCCAGTTCCAAATCCTAGTGTGGTTGGAGACTCTACTGGTTGCCGATCGTACAGAAACTGCGTTGATTCGGGGTTCTCGTCTCTTCCGATGTGTGATGGGAGCTCAGCCAAATGCTCGTTACTGCGATCTCGGAATATGCTCCTAACTTTGGTCAGGGGGTTTTTGCTCGGTGACCTCGCTATCGGTGAGCTTGGTCTCGATGGCCTTGCCGACATGTCCGTGCTTAGTCTAGGAATTAGTGCGTCATGCATTGGCCGCAAGTCAGGCGAATATGGCGGTGATGTATCGTAATCCGTTGAAATCCGCCCATCGCCACTCAGTGACCCAACGCCAGCCCGTCCAGCGAGAACCTGTGCCGGGGCTGGCTTGGCTTGGTACTTGGTATTAGAACCTTCCAAATCAGCCGGCTCAGAGCGGGATGCCGGCCTGCGGCCTTCAACATTGTCAGCCCCATCAGACGTCGATGTAATCCGCGGCCACTCCTGACCCTTTTCGGGCATCGCTAATCCAGCATCTGGGAGCTTCAGCTGTTGCGTATCCTGGTCATAAAGAGGATGCGCTTCGATATCTCTCTGCTCCTGAGCAATCATGTCTTCCATCTGCCTTGCCAGTATGTCCTTACCACTACTGGAGATGGTCCCGTGTCTGCCCCGTCGCTTCCGATCGCTGTCTGTATCAGACGACTCTGAAAAGGAGCGTCTATGGATGCGAAGAATATCGCGATTGTATATGGAGCTGTTGGCTCGATGGTGGGATTCCCTGATCGCCCGAAGTTTCTGTTGTGCTTTGTCCCGAGCCCGACTGGCACTAAAGCCGTGCGGTTGCTCTTGATGCGCCTTTTGTGTTGTCTTTAGTTCCACAACTTGGGGTGACTGTTCCGTGCGAGCCTTGTCTAGAGCCGTGATGCTGTTGGAGTTGGAAAAGATCTTGCTTGAGCCTGGAGTATCATCTCTTGAGAGCGAACGGTAAATTTCGGCACCACCTTGGGGAAAGAGGCGTTTCCAATTCCTATCCTCTACAAGGAACTTGTTGTCGTCCTGTTCAAGCCAATAGATGTCTGCGATCATATCTGCCGGATCTACGGCCCAATCAACCCGTGGTCGTTTCAATTTGGGTGTTGCTGTTGTCGGCTTAGAGCCGAGGGACTGGGGCGGGATTTCCTGAGAGAGAATACGAGTCGGAGAGAACGGAGGTATCGAAGGGTTTCCCGGTATTCGGTCCTGGCCCTTGGCGATCCATTTGGCTACTTCGTCAACCCATTCAGAAACCCTTTCAACATCGTTGAAGCCCTGACCCTCTCCATCCAATGTCTTTTTCTCACGAGCCCGAATTTTTCTGTTGCGGATATACTGCAGCGGATTATAAGGACGACCAATCGTTGTTTCAGCGTCATGAGTGGTTGGTCTTGAAGGGAAGTTAGGGCCATTAGGCGTCAGGGGAGGGCTAACGGTGGAATATGTTGCTGATCGGGCGGCCTTCAATGGGGGTAGCAGTTCTAATAGCCGTCTGTATTGTGCCATCAGCCCCAAGTATTCCCTTGCCTTCTGCGCTCTTGCCAAGGTCGACTGGGAAAAGTGGTACTGGTATGCTTCGAGACCGGCTGAAGCTTGCAGTGACCGTGCAGATGCGATGCGCGGGGAGTGGTCCGGTCTAGGTGACATATTCCGCGAAACTTTTCTCTGCTGCTGCAGGTGTTGTCGAAGACTTCCTCCGGTACTGTTTTCCGGCACTGGTCCTAGTCTTGAAGGCACTGGCTGAGAGATGATCCTTCGCGACGCTATCCTTCTCGACTCGCTCAGGTTAAGAGCCATGTTCACGATATGGGCCGACTCCATATCCAGGAGCGCCATGCTGGTTCGTGGGGATGGATTTGTTCCAATGACTGTCTCACCCGCCGAAGAGCCGCGGTTCGACGTGACCGCACTGTCGTTGATGGAGGATGGTTGTCGAACAGATGGCTCAGTTGTCGACCCTGAGCGCTGAACAAGCCCCAAGCCTACTTCGTTTGAGGGGCCCGTAAGTTTGTGCCGGCCAGGCGACCTGTCCAGGCCATTCTTAGTGATCTTATTCCTGCCATGCTCTAACAAGCTCTGCCTCTTAGGTAACTGTAGTTGGGTATGTTGAGTATGCGCGCCGAGGGCGGGATCCGAAAGGAGAAATGCGCCATTCGTTCTGTGCTTATGAGCACGGAGGGCGCCTTTAGAGAAATTTCGGTCATCGGCGCGAGGGTGATGGGAACGGGGGAGTCGCTGATCAGGCGGTATACTGGCGTCGTCGTAGTCATCCTTGACGTCGTTGAGATCCGAGGAAGTTACAGAGACGTCAGGGAGGTTCGTCGTGACCTGGTGGTCCTGGCGAGAGATGGCTGTCGAGGCATGATCATGGCGGTCAGAATCGAGGTCGGGTTGTTTGGTTGCTCGGCGCGGACGAAGGTTGGATGATGGGCTGGCATCTGGGTCGGTCATTGCTGTGCTGCGCCGTCCACATGCCACGTCTTCAGAGGAAGCGGGAACGGAGGAACTAGAGTCGCATGGAATGATTAATGACATGCATCGTCGTCAGTCTTGCCGTCGTCGCGTATGAGATGAAGAGGATGCGATCCGTCGTCTTGGCGTCCGAGGCGTTGTTCGGCTCCTCTTGTGTCCGGTTGAGATTCGTCGCCAAAGTCTCTCCGTCTTGTCGGATCGGTTCTCGTGATAGTCGCAGTGAGGTATCTGTAACGATCTTGGTCTTGGGGAGGTCTGGCTGGCTGGGCTGGGCGCTTTTCCTGCGGCTTCAGTCTGCCCATGTGAAGACAACGGGCCAACGACGACGTCAGACGGGCAAGGTACCGATGCAGCTGCTATGCTGGGTCGTGGGCTACTTTCTATTCGTCGCCGGGTACATTATACTACTTCTAGCGGCGCGTGTAAGGCAGAGAACAATGACCCAGTGGAGTGTGACAGTAACAGGCCGCTGAAAGGAGTGCTTCGATGCGTTGGGAGCGGGACAGATGATGGGAACACGAGGTCGAAATCGAAGGTCAGGTCCAGGGCAGTGCATGGGATGCAAATAGTACCTGCCGTACGGGGCTGTCTCTCCCGGACACTTACTGGTTCCACGGCGAGCATCGCCCTGCAAAGCTCACTGTTTCCTGCTGTGGCCCGTTGAAACGGCGGATCGTCCTTGCTGTGCAGTGTCATCGACCTTTCGGCAGTTCCATCATAACTGGAAAGGGGGGGCCCTGGCATCCAGCCGAGCCACCTGCAGAGCCTGCCTGCAAAAGAACCAGGAAACGAGGAAGTGGGGCAGGGGCAAAGAACCCCACTGTTACCCGCTATGGATCACGTTCCGCTGGGCTTGGGGGTCACTGCCGACTGGAAGCGCAGCTCCTCACAGGGCCTGGGCTGCCGTTTGTCGATTTTGACGCATGTATAGCACCTTAATCTGCATTCTTGCATCTAGGTTCACATGGTGATATTGTAACGTGCATAACACTGCCTGATAATTGGCCATCATCTTGTGGCTGATCACGCAGTAAGTACAGTGGTACTTTTTCCATGTGGTGGGACAACAACAAGAGCTCCCGTTGGTAGATGTGTTCAACTCGGTCCTCTTCGTATACTGAATGTTGGTAGTGACAGGGTTGGTTTGCGAGAAAGAAAGAAACCCCACAACTCTCGTTGCGATGTGATCAACAAGGGGTATTTCTCTACCGTCCAACCATCCTTTAGCAGTGAACTACAATATCATGGAAGCCATTATTCCCGGCAGGGATGGCGTGTTTCAAGCAGAACAAGGCAAATGTATGACATACCCAGCGTGTTTATCACTTTGATTCATAGGACGGGGCGTGCAAGAGATCGATAGGTAGGCATGTGTGTAGTGTATGTATGTGGTGGACCAGACTGCAGAGTTCAACGCATGTTTAGTACTTAATCTGTATCTTGACCCTGTGCTGGACAGTGCTGTAGGTTTAGGTGAGATTAAACCATCTTGAAAAGCATTCCGCTTATGTGTGAAGTTGAAAACGCAAATTAAACAATACTGGCGAGATGGTCCATCCCTCAAAGACCCATGTACCATTTACCATCATGTACCCAGTACCACCAATATGAAAGATCGGTGTTGTCTTCTTGTTGACATCATCAACAATGTGTCCCGCAGGACCAGCTGTGTAAGTCGATATTTGCCCCAAACGCCCAATGAAAATACAAAACACTTTGTAACAATGCAAAAAGGGTTAGAACACTGTTACCGCAGTAACAGCACCGTTCTTCAACACCTCAAAAACGAGTCCCGGGAATCCATACAAAGTAGTTGTGGAATCTGCGGGCCCATCAAACTTCTTGGCCATGCCACCGGCGTCTGGTGCTGCCGCAGCGCCGTCTCCTTCCCAGCCGCCGAGAAACTCAATGCTGCTACCGGGACTGTCTCCCCAGCCCCTATTAAGAACCATGCCCCTTTGCGCCTTGCGCGCCTCATCTTCAGAAGGGTAGATGGACTGCCACTCTTTGCGCAGGCTCTCCTCGATTTGCGGGAAATCCGACTCTGAGTTGATCACAACGTCCGAGGCAGACGAAAGATACGGGATTTCCCATCGGCAGCGACGGTGCCGGTTAAAGGGATATGACCCAGGCACATTTCCGTGCAAAACAATCTTTGTGGCAACAAGGCTGTCGGCATTGGCTGTGAGAAGCCAGTCCCTGGGAACGTTGGGTACATTCTTTCCCTGCTCCTGGGAAGGCGGTACCGGTGATGGCGCCGTCGGCTTTGAGACCAACACATCGAATCCATGGTAGAAATAGTTGTAGAAGCACTCGCCTGACACGTGGCCTTCAACGCTGACATCACTGGTTTCATCGTCGCTGGAGTGATAACCATCCGACCCAGCGTTTGCCGATGATTGATCTGTATCTGTAAGGTCGTCCTGATGCTTCAAATCAGCACTGTCTGGTCGCTTCAGGGCATCGCTACCAGTCCGCACTTTGTGGGCGAACATCTTATGGTCGTTTTTCCGGTATATGGCATCGGGAGGACCCAAGTGGGATACAAGGTCTTGCGGAGTTGTCTGTCCAAGCCTGATCCAAAAGTGCTGATCCGTCCACTTTCGAAAGACCTGCAGTTTCCCTGCCCCGTAAATCTTGATCAGAGACACCTCGTCAGGAAACACCTCCTTTCCCTTAGTGAGTGGCGTGAACGTCTTGAGACTGGGCAGCACATCAGTCCACAGCGTCTGTCGGGCTTGTGTCCACGAATCCCCACTGAAAATACCCATGGTCTCGGGGACTTGCGTGGATGGCAACAGGTCAACCACGTTCTTCTTGGCCGAGTAGCTCGCTTTCTTCATGAGGAAACTGAAGGCCACACCGGGCCAGGACAGAACGTAGAGCCCATATTGATCGACGGCGTTGTCTGGCGTCTTCGGTCCATCAATGAACTCGCCATCATAGGTGGGACCAAGAAACCGCTGGTAGATGTGACGGAACGTAGGGCCCGCGGGGTTATCGGTTGGTGGGGTAGATGATGTGGAAGGGCGAACAAGATCACGCTCCTTGTTATCGGCTGCCTTGAGAAAGATATGATTTTTGGTAAAGTCCACCACCTCGATTAAGCGTAGTCGCTGCTCTGGGGCGTCGAATTGTAGACGAATGCCGTTTGCAGGGAGATCGATAATGACAATCGATTTCGTCGGCTCGGTTGGACTGTACTTGACATCGAGATTCGGGAACCGCTGGGGCTCTGTCTTGAGGCGAGTCAAGATATCGTGCAACGACGCTCCAAGGACCAACCAGCCGAGCGCTCGCCCGGGATAAAGCTGGGCGGAGAAGAGAAGGGGAGAAATCGGCGGGGAGGTAGGTGTCGACATATTGAAACTTGTATGTGCTGATGAAGATGTTTGAGGTTGTACACTGCTTAAGGTGGTATATGGGAGCGACGGAGATGGGACGAACTCGTACGTCGAGTCTCGTTCATCCAGTTGGCTTAGTGGCAGGACGGACGGTTGAGAACGGCGGAGAGCGATATCATCTATTCGTATCGTAACTTGGTGTGTAACTATACTGACTTTGTGTCAGAGAGCGATGAAGAGGGCAAAGATGAGAGGATTAAAGTTCTTCGTTGGTTGTCAGATGGGTGGTTGTATCATCGGTTGGCGAAGCGGCGCTTGCTGGGTGTTGTCCGTCAAGGTCCCCTCGTGATCTGGGGGAGGGCGGCCCCGACCATCGGCAGCTGCTCCAGATTACGTAGGTAGAAGTACCAACGTACCTACCTCGAATCACATGAAGGCGAACGAACGGCAGGCGGCGGTGAAAGCGGCAGGCAAGACATGGGGCAGATGGGGTCAGCACTATGTACGTTTAAACATCAGTGCTGGACTCTGGAGCCAGGAGCGGCGTGATGGGATGGGGAGGGCCGGGACACAAAGAGGGGCATTGAGGGGAGGTTGTGCTGGCCGCTGTCCGCTGTTTGCTGACTGGTCAGCGTCACGCTCACAGCGATGATTCCGGGCTCGCTGTTGAAGATCAGTGGTCTGTGCGTTTAGTTTACTTGCACCGGAGAGCGGTTGCCCCAGCGATGGCCCAATATGGACACTACACTGCAGCAGTGTGGACAGTGGAGACTGATGTTGATGCCTCCTGTCGCGCCAAAGCAGCACAAGGCAAGCAAGTACCCAACTAGAACAGCAAGCAGCGAACGCTAACATTGGAAAAAGTGATATCCGCCATCCAACAAGACCACGGCACCTACCCAGGCGAGTCGCTTGCATAATCGACAACCAAAGCCCGGGCTCGCGACGTCCAGTCGCTCATTCCCGACGGCGTGTAGATTCTAACACGCCAATCTCTTCACGACGACGCTGCCGTCTTTCGCAGGTTTCCAGCTCGTCGCACATAAGAAAAAGACATCGACCGGCCGATCAAACGACCCACGATTTCGCTCCCTCTCCCTCTCTGCCATCAGCTCTTCGATCACCATCACCAATGCTTTTTGGATTGATTCTGGCCCATTGTGTACCTTAGCTCAACAGTCGTCACTTCGCATCTTTTCGTTTCTCGTCCCTCCTTTGGCCCAACTTTCTCCCCGATTTCGCGACCTCGACCCTTCGATAAAGCATCGTCCAATCGCGCAGCTCCAGCATGGAGCGTAAAAAACCATCATCCATGTCGCGTCCACCATCCGTCACCGGGACGCGTAGCAACAGCAGCATGCGACCTCCTCCTACCAGAAACACGGCGTCTTCAACAGGCCGCCAATCAGCCCTCCGAAATGCCTCCGCACCGGGAGGATCTCGCGCCGAGCGATCGGGCGCCGCCTCCCCCGCAGACTCACAGGTATCGGCAACAGCAGGTGCGAAGCGTAAGGAGCGCGATTTCGACCCGGAGGACGAGGGCACCACAAACATCAATGTCGTTGTGCGCTGTCGAGGACGCAATGACCGGGAAGTCAAGGAAAATAGCGCCGTTGTTGTCAAGACGGAGGGCCT